CTCCCACACTGGTCATGAGTCGTTATCAAGCTTGAGTGGTTGGTAGCGCATGCGCCGTCGGAGAGTGGTGGCGTCGCGCACGATTTGGTCCGCATCGGCTACTTGGGGAGCAATAATGAGGCGCGGTTGTTATGCAGTGTCTTCAAGACTGTCGTGTAGAACTGCGCTCTTGCAGCAGGCCAACACAGAAGGTGCACTAACCGAAGGTCAAGCCATGGATGATCACCCAAGAGTGTCGTGATAAGATCAGCCAAGTCAACATACAAGAATACAACGCGTTGACTTGGGAAGTTTGATTGCGGTTGGTAAGGCAGGTGAATCAGGTCCTGGTACATTGTGCTCAACCACAACCACGGCACAGAGCAGCAGACCTCTCGGAAACATCGCGCAAGACTCGTGCCTTTTTGACTCTTGCAAAATGTCACTCCAATTGGGAGTTTAGAATTGCTGACGGTCGCTAGGAGTCGTGGGTAGGACGTTTTTTGTATCCAAAAAGTTGCTTGGGGAAGAAGAATTCGCCAGTTGGACAAGAGGTGGGTAGTAATTTGCAGACGAAATGGGGCTTAAATTGTTCTTAATTATTGAGGTGTTCTTAGCCTGTCTCCTTGAGATCAACCGAGATTTATAGGAAAGTTAAGTAGACATTGCGATGTTGGTAAACAGGTTAGGTTGTGTATTCACGGTTTGCGAAAAAAGGCTTCGTTGTTCACTGTACTGCATTTTTTAACGATGCGCCAAGGTGCTTGTCCATATGTGCATTCATTGCGATTTTTGTGTAACGAGATTCGACGATGCACTCCGATTCCTTCATTTTAGGGGCCTCTCTTTTTAAAAGGGAATTGGGACACCTTTTTCGCATCTTTTATTTAAATTGGACAGAACTGAAAACGATCATTCCCCTGTGCTTGCCTTCATTATGCAATTGACACTGGGCTATCCGTGATTTGCTGGCCAAATTCGGGTTCTGAATAGTTTGCGCCATTTTTAAAGACCACTCTCTCATTGGTCATTCAATTTGCCCCTCTACAGACCGCTTATCCTCCAGAGACGCCTGTAGTGTCTTCAACAGGCTGTTGGCCCACTCAACCAGCCTCGTCCGCAGCCTTGCCCAGCACTGTCTGTGCAGGCATCTCTTCGTGGTCCTCGGCAGGTCTTAAATCGTCGTCAGGCACTCCTCTTCCACCTGTTCCCTTTCCTCAAAATCCGCATCCGCCTCATTATCCTGGCACCAACGACGGGACTAGCTCAGGCCGGTTATCGATCTACTCGGTCTGTATGTAGCCGGACGAGATTTAATCGCCTCTCACCGTTTACGCCCTCCTCCTCCTCCTCCTCTTCCTCCTCCCTCTCACACATTCATTCCCGATCTCGTGCTGAGCGTGTGCAGCCCTCGGCTCACGCGCACGCACACTACCTCACTCACCAACTGAAACAAACAAGCAGACGAGCCACGCGCCAGTCCCTCTTTTATTTGCTACTCATTCCTCTGTTGTGTGAAGAGCGTATGTGTTATTCTCTACCCACACGTGCGTGTGTGTACAATTGTGTATATTTTCTGCTACCAAGACCACCCCCTCCCCACCTAGCGTGTGTGTTGGAATTGTTTTTTTCCAATTTCTCATCCACTCCGTACATTGTTTCCCCGCATCATTTACACACGAGAAGAAAGGGGTGATCACATCTCCTCAACTGTTTCGCCAATTTGGCTACTTCATCTTTGAATAAAACTTAAAGAATGTCGGTTGTTGCTATCGTTGATCCGGTGGAAGCGTTATTGACGAAAGTTGGAGCTATTTTGCAATTTGAGTGGCAGGGGTCGAGTCTCTAATTATGGCATCTCTACAATAAAACTTGCTGCAATAATTCACTTTTGGTCTACCACCTTCAGCTTGGTTGTCCTCACCATCGATACCACGACAGAGGTGATTCCCCTCTGTACCTTCTTGCGTTCATTAGCCACGGACGCCCCAGAGGTTGCAGGCACGATCCAGCAGTTCGCATCTACCTGGATGGATTAGAGATATAGTTCCATAAGGGCCTACCTCCTGTCGTCGGCGTTCCCAGAAGCAGCTTTTTCAGTAAAATTTCCGCGAAAGTGTCACGTTTACAAGCGTTCAGAGACCATCATGTGCTGCTGCCGTAGTGCCGTAGTGAGTCTAATTGAACGTTCATGGGAGTCGGATGTCCTAGCATCACCGTGACGAACCTTCAGCACAGTGTTCGGGTATTCGCAGCGAAAGGCGAGCCGTCCAATTTGCCGACACATGTACTCGCCTTGATATGCATATATGCAAATGAATGCAGGTTGCTGTGTAACCTGACAGATTAAGGTAACGGCATATTCTGTGTGCGGGTTAGGCCAGCATTCCATTCGGTAGCCCCACCGGCTTATTCCAGACGATGTCTCCACTACACACGCTTGTGTCTCCACGACATTTATTTGTTGGTTCTTCGCAAAGATACGGCATGTGATCGTCATGTTCTGTCCTTTTACAGGGTACACCCTTCAATACTACTGAATAGTGGTGTAAACAGCGGCGTACTCTTACCATTAGCCAGGGTTCTTTAACAAATGCACGGTTGAACTGAAAGTCGTGCGCGAGAAGCCAGTTGATTTATGTTCATTAACGTAGTCACTGCATACTCCGACACACCACCCTTCATTTCCTACAATCAACCTTTATGACTTCCTGCTGGAAGAAAAGGTTGTATCAGCAGCAGCAAATCATCTGAAACGTCTTATGACAACGCACAACTGAGCCAACAGCTTCAGTCACCTTCTGATAACGAACATTTGCCCTGTTTTAACATACTCGCGTTCAACCTTAACGATGGCCGTAAATCGACTGCACAAGACCTTCAGTATTTCTCTTGGGTGAGCGAAGTAGTTAATCGTTTTGATTTACATCAGTCAACTAAGTTACCTCGTTCTCCGACAAACCAACCCCTTTTCACAATTTGTCCGTCAGTCATGCGGAGCCGCTCGTTAATACCATACCTGTGGATGTACCTTTCCTCTGCTACCCGTATCACTCGTCTGCCCATTCAACTCGGGTACATTATTATAAGCTCGTCCAGAATGTATTGATTACCAACACCTCCAGACAGACACAGACACAAATTCATGTTCACAGTAGTGCACCACACATAAGTAGCTTGAGTCCCCACCATCTCCAGTCTTCTTGATCTTCCGGGGTATCTGCATATGTGGCAGCCCCGGTCTGTGGAACCTAACCGTAAGTCTTGCACAAATTAGCAGGAGTCTTGCTGCATTAAACAGTGACTGGTGAAGTAAAGCCTCTTGACTAACGGCATCGCCCAACGCCTACGGGCTAGGGTAACAAACAAACTTTTATGCCTTTCCTGTCAATAAAAATGATGTAGTTGAGAGAAGCAGGTGTGTGAAAAACCGAGCTTAGTGGCAAAACGGTTCGGTGTGTGTGAGTTGCGCTTGGCTTGCGATCAGATTTCGGTCTGTTGGGTCACATGAACGTCTAAATCAATCAGTCTCAAATAAACCGGGTATGGCAAATCTATGTATCAGTGGTCATTGAAACCAAAATCAGCTTTGATGTAGATGGAGTATCAAGTAGATCATTAGACGTGATTCAGGGCCTCAGTGACGTCAAATTCACAACTTCTACAACAGACGTGAGCAACCAATCTGTTCAATTTTAACTCTAAATTCGTGCGAAACAACTCCGGGTCATTAGTAAACTGGCGTATCTTTAGTTCTGTGCAAATACATTGACTTGGATCAACCACTTCGTCAATTTTCCTCTGTAACTTGTTGATTTGATGACGCAATTCAGGTCATCACAGGGTCAGGGTGGTAAGTAGTCGACATGCTAGCCTAATTAAGTGATCGCATCCATGTCACGAAAGCAAGCACATCGTGTTCTTGCAGTCTCTGCTAATAGCACCACGGGTCGCTGTTGAGGGATCAAGGGAAGAACCGCTTAAGAGGGTGCCCATGCGTGGATTCGACGCCGATTTGCACGCCAGCTGTCAGTTGTGTCAAACAGCAGCGACACCACTGAGTAAAGTGATGTGTCTAATTGCTAATTAGACTGGACCAGCTTGGTTGCACAACGCTGCGAGACATCGTTTTGGGTGGTTTTGCGTGAGATCCAGACATCAGTGGAGCCTTGCTAATTAGATGAGTCATTTTCAAGAACCAGACAAGCAAAATTGAAATTCGGTGTGAATTCTGCGCAAAAGACGTGTCTACTCCTTGTCTAGGTTAGTTACGTCATTTCAACCTTTAAAAATGCAGTACTGACGAAAAAGCCACAAAAATTCTTGAAAGGCGTTATTCAAATAGAATCGAAAGTATGAGTTTTCAGTTCTTTCGTGTGTCCAGATGTACAGGCTGAACATTTATCAGTTGCTCAAATAGTAATAATCTAGACTCTTTGTTTTTTCAGCATAAGAAAAAAAACGTTCCTGTTAGTGCGTTTCACACCATACTAGAACACAAAGTGAAATCGGACAGCTTTGGCGTGATGACAGAAATTGAAATTAGAGCAAACGAGTATTGCATTCACCAAAACGCACCAAGTTGAAGATAGTTCCATCTATAAACCACTTGACTCCTCAGGACCTCTAACTTCCAAAGTCTCAGACGTCAATTATGTTAGTTACCAAGGTAGCCTTCTGATCCCCCAAGTGAGCAATCAATTAACAAACGATGCAAAAGCGGTAAATCTGCTTAATTTGTCGTGAACAGGGTGAAGCGTCTTCCACCAAACTGCCAGGTGGGCCTTGTCACAGGTGGTCGCCGAATGCGGTCACCGAATGCTCTGAGAAATATGTTATTCGAGGGCGGAGCACTTATCTTGGTTGTATTGTGGAAGTTTTGATTTGCATCAGTTCTGATTTGCGGCCCTGTTTCTCTGTGGTTTGCGAAACCGAAGAGGGTGATAAAAGTCTACTTTAATTCCATCACAAGAAACACTAAACCTTAATATGTCATATTTTTGAATGTGAAATAAAACAGTAAATTGATGTAGCCAACTCAAGTATGGTACCTACATTACCAGAGAAGTTCGCTTAACATTTCGCGCGTTCGTCGTAACTCCTCGCGGTCTCTTCTCTGATGAAATTAATGCGCATTTCCACGCGTTTGTTCTGCGTTGATAATGTTTCATGTCAATTTTTGAATAAAAGACCTTAGTGGCAGAACCCTTGAGGTATTAAGGGGAAAGCTGGTCAGCTTGCGACAATTACATGTCAATAATTGCACTTTTCCCGTTTCCACAGTGGTTTCATTTAAAAGATACCCAAATGGTGACAAGGCATCGAATAGTGTAATGACAGGGGAGTTGGAAATGGTGCCATGGTGTGATTTCTTGTGGGGACGCCCGTACTGAAGTGCAAAGTGAACAAGAGTCCTGCTTTAGTAGAGAAGGCAATGATTTCTCATCAGGGAATTCAGTGTTGCTGCACAAGAATCGTTTCAGAAGGGAGGAAACCGTTTCATGAGGGCCAATCTTGGATTAGATAAACAGAAGCTCCTATAGTGCACCGAATGGTTAGTGTTTTGACGCTGTGTAAACATAATTCCCTAAGTGACTTTCATTGAAGTTTAAAAGAAAGCCACCCAAAATTCGGCCGAAGAAAACGCAGGGGCCTGAGGACTGGATTTCACGAATTCTTTCACTTCGAATTCCCCAAAAATGCCACCGTAAGGGTTGATGTGTTGGTCGATAAGTTTACTGTCTGCCTTTGTTAATTTTAGAGCACAATACCACTCGCTAGCCCCAGATGAAGTACTTTGGGCCAAAATTACGGCTTTATTTTAACCAGTGATTTTTTTCTAAAACGAAAATTGTCTGAAAAATGTGTGACTGTGATTTTATTTACTCCTGTTTTCTATCACAGGGAATATTCGGTTGCTCGGGCTAATTGGTTTTGTGGAAACATTAAGCTGAAATACGAGGTAAAGTGGTGCTGTTTGCTCGGTCGAGATGCTAATCCCTACCAACCTCTTCTTTTTTAGAAGACTTCGTTGCTGCTTCGGATGTACGGTTTGTGAAGTTTCACTAGTTAAGCTGCGAAAATATGACACCCTAATGATATCCCACAATAATTTGGCTCTAGTTTTTTTCGAATTTATTTCAAACGCACGGGTGGCCAAACACACGCGAAATGTTGCTCGCTTAAAAAAAACACCTGCAAGAGATTTTAATACTCTGCGATTGCCTCTGCCATGTCCTTAACTTCATGCAGCAAACTAATTTTGATCAACTCGCCAGGCAGCAATTGCACGCGAAATCGGCCACTTGGCATTCACTTTGGTGTTAAAAATTACCGAATTATGCGCGATCTCGTCTTAATGAGGCGCTTAGATGAAATAAATGCAGTCACCTCATGACCTAGTTTAGAGAGGCTAAGAATGCACTTTCGGTGCTAAGAGACCACAAATTCAATGCAGCATCAGCGAGTCATTGTGTATAGATGATGTAATGGTCGTCACGTTACTTGAGCTGTGGTTGAACATTTGAGGCAACCAATTTGTTCTTAAGTGGCATTGTCCAACCTGCGTCAGTTGTGGGCCCCAGCATGTGGTCTTGAACCACGCTGGGGCCACGGAATTAACCCTGGCCCGATCACGCTACCCTGCTACCTGCTATGAAGAAGACCGGAGAGGACGTAAACACAACCGTTTACCACAGAGCTCAACCAAGTGAGTGTCGTTGTCTTGTGTGTAGCCTTCGCGCGTGTGTATTTACAGCTCAGATGTATGAGTTATGAATGCGCTGGCATCAGGACCTAGGTGGGAGGATAATTCAGGATAATCGTTCGCACAAATGAGAGGGCAGCTGAGGATCCGCGTGGCCGCCACCATGCTGTGAAAAGGGAGACCTCGTGTCGGAGGCTGAAGTGACCGGATTAACGTGGTTCGCGACATGTTCTTTGAAGCAATCAAATTTGCCACAGGTAGATTTGGTGTTGCGGAAAAGCTAACATCAAATGTATGGGTTCTCTGCTTAACTGCTGATAATTACTGAGAAAT